CATACGTATATATATATATATATATATATATATATATATATATATATATCGAAGAATTATGCTTCAACGATTCAAGAAGGGAAGCATGAATGGCACATCGCACTCCGCTTGCCTCTGACATTACCGATAAATGATAATGTGCGTTATCGAGGAAGAAGCTGAAGTTGGAGAATTTCTGTTGAAAATCGAAACGAGTATTTCAATCGAAGTGAAAGAAATATGCACGCAGTTATACTTTTTAATTAGATATTAAATAAACGATAAATATATTTCTTTGTAGAGAAAAATAAATAAAATGTGTAACAAAGTTTCGTTCTTAGTTCTAGATTAGTAAAAGTAAAAGGAAAAAAAATGTTGAAGATAATTCATTCGTGTAATTACGTTGATGAGATAATTACTTTGAAAAGTGACGATAAAATTTAAAAAGATATTCGAAAAAATAAATAAATAAATAAATAGAATTTGGTATCATTCCGATTAATTTATGACGAAAGCGTTCGACACAAGAAAGGAATTTTAAATCGTTCTATCATGACTGAAAAGATGAATGTTTATCGATTTACGTACAATGTTCTACTGTCTCGTCATTTCTATCCGTCGTAAATTGTAAACGTGTAGAAACGTAAAGGAAAATGGTTAATAAATATTCATGCATCGATAACCACGTCCTTGAAAATATGGAATACGGAGTCGACTGTATAGAAAAAAAAAAAAAAATGAATAGAGAAAAAAATGAAACGAAAAATCGCAATATTTGACAAAATGTTGCTGGATAAGTTTCGTCCGTTCGAAAACAACATTGATAGTTCGAAGAATTTCACGGCTTCGATCTAAAAACGGGCAGTGAAACGAAAATTGTATCGACAGATAAGTAACGAGAACCCTAGGGAAAAATTGGCGAGCTGGCTTCTTCGATCGTCAATTTTTCATCTCCTTACCGAGCTTTCTGCCGCCTCTCTTCTTTTCCTCTTCGATCTTTCATCGATAAATGACAGACTCTCGAATGTCTGTAAGTTTTAATTTTTAAAAATATTATATTTTAAAAGATTGTAAACGATTGTAAAAAAAAAAAGAAAGAAAGAAAAAATATTTGCGAGGAATAATTCGAGTGAAAGAAATCGTGAAATGGATCGAGCGATAATTGAACTTGGATGAAGATAAAAAGAATGGAAAGGAAAAAATTTCGCTGGAGAAATCTAATTTGACGAAGGGACACGTGATATCGATCACGTGAGAGATTCATTTATTCAGAGCAAACCACGATCACGGAATTCAATTTTCCTCTGTATTCAAGATAACGTGTTTCCCGCCACGGAGATTGGCCAATAGAGCCGTGTGTTAATTACACGGATTCGAATCCTAACAACGGATGGAAATTGAGAAGATGGACTGATCGATGATAAGGAAGCGAGAATTGAGAAATCGGATAGGATTCTATATCCGATCATTGACAATATACTATTGCGATATCAACTGGAGGATACCTTTGAATCGGCAACAATTAGAAATTAAGTAGTTTAAATTGATTAGTTGTTAAGAAGGTCTGTCTTAAACAATATGATAAGAACTGTTGGATTAATAAAAGAATTTATTATCTAATAATAGATGTATTTATAATAATGTATTTATGAT